TTCCCTTGTCTCAATGGCATAAATTATTCAGTTTTACGCTCTTCTATTTTTCTCTCTTTTTTTTATAAAATCATTATTTATAAAATCAAAATTTCATAGTACCTTTAAAAAGGAATTTATATTATTATCTATAAAATTTATAAACAAAATTCATAATTTTCCTTAATAAATTTTTGCATATAATTTTTAAAATCATAAATTAAAAAAAAAATTTTTTTTATTAAATTATAAAACTAATTAATGTTTTTTTTATTTTTAATTCGGAACAATCGTTAAAATACCGATTGAACGTCAAGATATCTTGGGGGGGGATTTTAAAAAAAATCGTATATGACACATTCTTGACTATTTGCCATCGTCAACTTCCGAAAGGAGCCGAGTGACTGCGTTATCAAGGTGGGAGGAATCTTCAAAGTTAGATCGACTGTATTTTTACACATTCGCTGGCTGCAGTCGGTTCGCGTTATTCGCCACGCATTCATATACATGTATATATATGAATGTAAAAATATATCATATAATAATAACAACAACAAAAAAAGAATGAATCTGAGATATATAACAGACTTTACAAAGGATCATCAATTTAACACAATCTATAAAGCACAATTGATCGAGTTTCCGCCCATCACAGGAAGTGAATTGAAATTGGCGTGTCATGAAGCCGAATCGAAATATTTTACACTACATATATATATATAGTATATTTTTCCCCACTTCTAAAGTCGATAACAATGATTGGAGTTCAACGCCTCCTCAACTGTGAAGATATCTAATCGACAGTTTTATTTTAAAAAAACTAAAATACACCAATAATAATAAAACCAAAAAAAAAATCTCGTGAAACGAAAAAACAAATGTCAAAGTGATTTTCATTAATACAGCGTGGAAAAAAGAAATATATTCGAATTAATTAACATTTTATTAAATTTAATGTAAATTAATTAACCAAAGTCGAACAGAAAATATTTAATTTCTTCAATAAAATTCGTAAAAAAAAAAATACTAAAAAAATTGTTTTAACTACAAAAAAAAAAAATTTGAAATTAAATCAATTACTTGATTTAGTTAACCAAATTAAATTAATTGCATACAATCAATAAATTTAATTAATTAATGAATCAAATTATTCTTTTACATTTTCTTTTTAAAATGAGAAATTATTTTTTTAAAGAAGATATTAAAGAATGACTTTTAAGCTTTCCTTTCTAATTAAAATTATTTCTTTATCCTATTTCAGATAATTTCATTATAAATGAAAGGACTTTGTGATAGGGGAAAGAGTTTTCTACAGTTAATTAGTCAATCTTTTGTTTTCAAATTCATGTAACTTTAATCTTATTCACAGGCATATTGAGACAAAAAGAAATATTATATTTCCAATTTTAAAAGTAAGAAAATTGCGATTTTTTAAAAATAAATTTTTTTCTCTTCATTTGAGAGGAATACTTTATTCTAAGAATATTATAAGAAAATTTGCATCTAAATGAAAGAAATTATTTTCCCATTGTGAATAATTTTTTTTTCATCAACTTATAAATAAAAAAAAAATTTAATTTCAAATGAATTTAATCTAAAGTAACTTTAGTAGTGTTAAGCTAATTTTTTTTTTTTTTTGAGTAAGCAGTAAAAAGTTAAATTTCTAAAAAAAAAAATTTGCAAAAAAAATATAGTAATTTTTTACTACATATTTAATTCATTCATCTACATGGTTTAGATATTTAAATACACGTATATACAAAATATGTATGCGCATGTCAGCTATTAAGAGTAGGCCGTTCTCTCTACAATTACAGTAATTATCCCGTGGTCATTTAAATGGTCGAAAATCGTTGATTGCATCAGTTTGTAAATTGAAAGTACCGCGAGGGTAAAAACCAATTCAATTTAAAATTGTAAGTCTGACATCAATTTTTTTCTAATTGTAAACAAAAGTTTACAAATTTTTTTTTGTTTGTACCGTTTTTTAAGCTACTGTAAATTTATATTAATTTTTTTTCGAGACAATTTTTTTAGAGCAAAAAAACTACCTTTAATTATTATTTGTTCTCAATATCCATTAAATAAATTAATTTTTTATTAATATAATTAATAACAAAAAAAAATTTAAGAACCTTAAATTTTTTGTTATCAAAATTGTCAGTAGAACAATGCTTTATCATTTGAACCGACTGGCACAAATGTAGAGCAGAAAATCTGCTGTCAGGGGCTTTTCAAGAACTTGTATAACGACTGTTTGAAAGTAACACACGATAAAGAATATTTTAAACATTTAACTAGATTATTATTATTTTACATTATTATAATTACATTCTAAATTATTAATATTTCTAAAATTCATTAACCATTTTTTTTAAATATAATTTTATTTCCAATAATTGAAAGAAATTGAAATTAAAAGTATATCAGCAATTTTAAATCTTTAATAAAAGAAATGAGAACTAAAGTGGTTTTTTTTTTTACTAATGCTTCAGTCAATTAAATTTTATTATATATACAATATATAATTTTTTTTTTCTCAATCTTTCTATTTTTAAATAAAATTAATGATTTAACACGATTATTAGAGCATTTTTGATAAGATGCTGGATTAAAAAAACAAGTTCATATCAGTTCGTTCAACCAAATATTTCTATTAATTAACAAGAAAAAAAAAGAATGAAAGAAATACGAAAATAAAAATAAAAAATGTCCCAAAAGAATCGCAATATTCTACACAACTAATTTATAACTTTTTCAACTAAAGAAGAAAAAAAAATTCCATAACACATTCTATATATACTATATATTATATTTGTCGACTTTTTCCTGAGTGTTTGGACCTCTCATTGATTTTTATTTAGAAAAAGAAGAGTTTGTTTGAATTTAAATAAATTAGTTCCTTTCAAAATCAAAAGTTCTGTTAAGTTTTCTTTTTTTTTTTAAATTTTTTATAATAAAAAAAAAAATTTATATTTATAATAAAAACAAAAAATTTATTTTGTATATTAAAGAATAACAAAAATTGGCAAATATTTTCTCTAATTGTTTTTAAAGAAATGGTTTAAAACTTGCCTATGTGAAAAAAATAAAGTATTTCAATATTCTACACTGAAAAAAAAGTATTATCGATTCAAGGAAATCATTTACTTGTCCGTATTTGATCCACTAATTTTCAATTCAAGAAAATTTACTTCAAACTAGTAAAAAAAATTTTTGTATCAAGAAAATATTAAATCAAATAAAAAATAGGTTCTCTTGATTCAATACTATTTTTTTCTACTCTCTAAATCTTAATTAGTTGTTTTCTACTAAATTATTAAATGAATTAAATTTTATTTATTAATTTATTAAATTACTAAATTTATTAAATGAAAGAGTGCGTATTCGTTTATCAATTGAATTAGTAATAGTTTTGACTAATTTTTAGTAGAAAACTACTAATTCATGGAGTAAATCGTATTTTTTTACTACTTCAAATTAGTAAGCCGATTTACTCCATGAATTAGTAGTTTTCTACTCTCTAAATCTGAATTAGTAAAAATGTTTACTAATTTTAATTAGTGACTCACTTTTTGCTTCAGAATTAGTTAAATTTTACTAATTGTTAGTAAAAGTTACTAATAATTAGTAAAATTTTACTAATCAGAAGCAAAAAATGGGTCACTAATTTAAATTAGTGAACATTTTTACTAATTCAGATTTAGAGAATAGTAGAAATTAGTAGTTTTCTACTAGCAATTAGTAGTTTTTTACTACAAATTAAATTAGTCAAAATTGTTACTAATTCAATTGGTAAACGAATACGCACTCTTTGATTAGTAGAAAACTACTAATTCATGGAATAAATCGTATTTTTTACTATTTCAAATTAGTAAGCCGATTTACTCCATGAATTAGTAGTTTTCTACTAGAAATTAGTAGTTTTCTACTAGAAATTAGTAGTTTTCTACTAGCAATTAGTAGTTTTTACTACAAATTTAATTAGTCAAAATTGTTACTAATTCAATTGGTAAACGAATACGCACTCTTTGATTAGTAGAAAACTACTAATTCATGGAGTAAATCGTATTTTTTACTATTTCAAATTAGTAAGCCGATTTACTCAATGAATTAGTAGTTTTCTACTAGCAATTAGTAGTTTTTTACTACAAATTTAATTACTCTCTAAATCTGAATAAGTAAAAAAGTTTACTAATTTGAATTAGTGACTCATTTTTTGCTTCTCAATTAGTAACATTTTACTAATTGTTAGTAAAAGTTACTAATAATTAGTAAAATTTTACTAATTCGACACCTTCCGTTCATATATAATGCTTATTGAAAGTGAAATGCAATATAAGTTTTATTCAAATTTTCGTGCCATATAAGTCTTATTGAAACAACAGTGCTATATAATTCTTATTCAATACAATTATTGTATTGCACGGAAACTTAAATAAGAATTATATAGCACTGAACTTTCAATAAGACTTATATGGCACGAAAATTTGAATAAAACTTATATTGCATTTCACTTTCAATAAGCATTATATGAACGGAAGGCGTCGAATTGAGAAGCAAAAAGTGAGTCACTAATTCAAATTAGTAAACTTTTTTACTAATTTAGATTTAGAGAGTATGTCAAAATTGTTACTAATTGGTAAACGAATACGCATTCTTTGATTAGTAGAAAACTACTAATTCAGATTTAGAGAGCAGTGTACGTGAACTTGTTAAAATATCAAAAAAAAAATTTTTGAACAAATAAAAATTAAAAGATTTTCAATCAAATGAACATTTGATTTAAAAAAAAAAAAAATGATGAGTTTTAGTAAACAATCATGCGCGAGTCTTTATACTCAAGGCATAAAGTTCCTGTCTTAGTACAATCAATTTATATACATCTGCGTGTATTGAGGAAATTGAAGGAGAATATCAATAAAATTAGTCGCGTTATATAGAGTACATGATTAAATGATGACGATGATTAATTTGCTAGGTTAGTCTCTCTCTTTCTCTCTCATCGAGCAATCCAGTACCAGCCTTGTGGTCGAGTGGCGCGTGGTGCCCGAGCAAATGTCGTCGTCGTTGTTGAAGACGATGAGGAAAAAGAAGAAGAAGAAAAAGATGTCACGGGGGGTATTGTAGGGGCGCGATCAACGATCGACGGATCCATCTCGAGGATCATTCGCAAATCGTCGTCAATGCCAATATGCACGCGCACCGATTTTTCTTGTTGTTTTTTATTATCGGAAATAAAGTTCTCCGATTTAGATGAACGCGGTGGCACGTTATCCAAAGAATTGAATTTCAACTGATGTTGTTTTTGATAATTATGAAGATGACGTGGTGAAAATGATGCCGGTAAATTTTGCGATGTTGTTGTTGTTGTTGTTGTTATTATTTGCGTTGAGCCAAGATCAGGTTCCGAGCTACAATTATTTATTCGATCTAATCGTGACACAAGTTCTTCGAACTCGACAATTTGTCGTGACGTCTCAGACGCGGTGGCATGCATAATCGCGCTACCGCTACTTTTTGCGATCGGACGTCTCGAGGCGTCGCGACGCTACTAAAACGAGCGCCTAAATCACTAGACATCTAAACCAAACAACTCATGACGTAAAAACGATTTTCCCCTTTCCTCTCATTGTCATTCTTCTATATATTTGCCGAAACTGCGAAATGCGTATATCTTCAATTTATATAGTTAATAATCTTCATAAAGACGATGTCGAATTTATAAGATGATGTAAAAAAAAAAAAAAAAAAATTATTTTCTCAATTTTTATTTCTAGAAATATAATATTTTTTTGCGTAAATTTTAAATGTACCTAATAAAAAATCGAGAATTTATTTTAAAATATATTTAAAAATCAAGCATAATTATTGACAATCGTTAATATATATATATATAAGTATATCATGAGCCATTTTAGAAACTCGTAAGAATTTGTCAATATATTAAATGGATACATATTGAAACAAGTGGAGAAAAAAAAAAAATTCTAAAATTATCGAGATGATACATTAGAACACATAGGCATAAAGATCAATATTAACACATTTGTGTTGTTTCAGAAGCTCATGTCGTCATGTATTTTGCTTATCTAAATATCTGCTATACACATTTTGTGTAAATCTTGACACAAATCAAAAAATATATGAACAATAAAGCGAACAAGTTTAAAAAAAAAAAAAAAAAATTGCACAATTTCCAAAATTAAAGTTATAGTCAAAAATAAAAAAAAAAAGTATTCAATGAAAATATTTTCCAATGAGTTTAAGGAAAATAATTAAATCGATCAATTCATTCAATTATAATTAATTAATTTAATAAAATTTATAAAGAATTGAATTAATTAAAACAATTTTTAAATTAAAAAATAAATTTTAAGTTTCATGAAAAATTTGTAGTTAGAAATGAAAATTTACAGAAATAACAATGAACTTTCAGTTTAATAAAAATGATATGTGCTAGTAAAAATCAACACTGGCAAGAGATAAGGAACTAAATGATTTTAAACTGAATGGTATTTTGATGACTATTAACCTCTCTATTAAATTGGTCTTGGAAAATTACTGACAATGTTATAGACGACAAAAAAAAAATTTTTAGGAGGATCTACTTATACTTATATATTAAATTTTACAATTAATTAATTAATATATTTACAATAATCTAAATACTGAAAAAAATGATAAATAATTTACAATTAAATATAACAAAATTTTTATCATTATAATAAAATAATTATTAGTTAAAAAATTAGTAAAAAAAAATTATTAGTAAAGTATCTATTTAAAAAAAAAGAATATTTTTTATTTCATTATTAAAATAGTAAATAAATAAATTATAATTCAATGATTTCATCGATGATGCTGCATCATTGTCAATAAAAATGATTCATATCTTTAACATTTAACAAATACAGAAATAAATGTTTGAAAATTATTTATGATTTTATATAATAATAATCAGAAATGAAAACATGTGGTGCTTGAATGTTCAAATAATTTCTGCCCTATATAAATATAAATCTTATATATATATATATATGGTCAGTATATAATGTAACTCAACCTAATGTATCATTCATCATGAAATAAAGGACACTCGAGAGCACTACCGGAAGGCAAGATCATTGATACAAACTGACAGTAGTAAAATATTTAAACTTTGTACTTTGTAAATTAACGATTATATCAATAATAGAACTCATTTTTTTTCTCCACTTAGAAATCAATATAAAATAATTATTTCAATGAATTTTTTTTTGTTGAAATTAATTAAATTTGCCATTTAATTAACTATAATTCGAGAAAATCAATTAAATTTCAAAAGAAAAATCTAGTTTATAATTTATCACATTAAAAATAGATTAATATTTATTAAAATACATTTAATATTTATTAAATATAAAAAAAATTTTAAGATTTTTAATTTTGTTATTAAAAAAAAAAAAATTTTCTATCTCAACGAAATAATCTTCACATTATGGATAATGACAAATAAAGGTGGTAACAAACAATGCAGTAACTTAAGCAATCTCTATTACCGCCTTATCTAAATTTTTTATCTATGCAACCATCTCTCTCTCTCTCTCTCTATATATATATATATATATATATATATATATATATATATATATATATATATATATATATATATATATATATATATATATATATTTCAACAAGCGTGTATATACAATAGTTCAAAAAGAAAAATTTCGAATTCAAGATAAAAATCAACAAACAAACTTTTTATTGTTAAAAATTTCAAACATAAAACCCAGAAATATAAAATAAGATAACAAAAAAAAATCTTTCTCATTCAATTTAAAATTGAAAATACAGAAAAAAATTATTATAAAACAAAATGGATTCTTTAAAATTTTTTAATATAATAAAAATATGGAGGAAATGATTTTTTTTAAACATTTTTTTTTTTTAATGAAAAAATAAATTGTGTATTAAATTGTTGATTCATTCGACTAATTAAAAAATTTTGTTCAATTACATTGTGTAAAGGATCGGATTCCAGAAGAGTAAAATAACAATTTACAGAGATGCGCTTTATTGCACTTGAAGAAAAGATATACTCAAGTTCAGCAAATTGGACAGTCAACTGCAAAATGGCAAATTGCCAATTATTTGCAACTATTGCAACATACATTTTATTTGGCAAATTCGAAATATAGTTTTATATGTTTAAAAGAGGGCTAATATATTTTATATATATATATATTATGTCATCGAGAATTGATAGCCATTTATAGAAATTTTCAACAATTCATATATATATATGAAAAAAATATTACGTAAATTAAATTGGTAAATTTAATTATTCAATAAAATAATAAAATTCCATATATTTTAAAATAAAAGAACGAATTAATAGAAAAGAAAATTTAAATTATAAAGAACATTTTGTCTATAGAATTTTTTTTTATTATACCAGAAATAACTTTACGTAAGGGAAATTTTGAAATGTTACCCTCCAGCTTGATAATAATTTATAAGATTTCGATACATTTCCTTTTTCCAATGAACGTTCTTATGTAATTTAAACATGAGCCCCTAATATTGGTACATTTGCCAAAGTACTACGTTCATCTTAGAAAGTAAGTTAATAATCGTTGTAAATATTGAACCGGTTTAAACTCGATTCGCCCAACAAACCATATGATCTAACATTTTATTCTATTGATATTACCATCCTCATCTAACGGCGTTAAAGTAACAATTGGACCTTTAAAACACTTGCTTCAATCAGCACACGCAGAGCAATTCGCATAAAAAAAAGCCGACTAATATCACTCATTTTCACTTTAATCTATTATATATTATTGTATATTTAAATTTCAAATTATTTAAAAAATATTATTTCTCCTTTAATATTTTTATTGCATTCAGAAATTTTCTTCAATTTTTTACAATTTAAATTAATTGTTTTTATGGAAAAAATATTTTTCAAACATAACAAAAATATTTCTGATTGATTATTGTTCGAACGTGTTTTATCTTGAATTAAAAAAAAAATCACCGCTGTTGTAATAAAATAGAATATTGTGAAAAAACGATTAAATTGTTTTATTAAAAAAAAAAAAAAAAATGATTTCTTTCCTTAAAATAATTTCTTGATTTTATAATAATTCTTAAAGAATTTTATTGTATTGCAAACTAGTCACAACAATTTTTTCTTTTATTTTTTAAACAAATTTTTTTAAAAAGTAATTTCAGCTATAATAAACATTAAACAATAATATAACAGATAAAAGTGAAAAAGATATTCTAAAATTGAGTTTTATAAATAAAAACATTTTGATACGAAAATAGATTTTTTATATTCATGGTATTTTTTAAATAAAACTAAAAAAAAAAAACTGTGAAAAATGCTCAATTGTATATTCTAATGGATTTTGTCACACTAACATGTAAATATTTCAATGTAATTTATTATCCGGAATAGAGATTATTGCAAATGACAGGCAAGAAATTTTCTCTGTCAAAAATAATTGAAAATTCAAAACATGAATATCTCTCAAAAACATCTGAATTTATTAATTTTTTTGTCATTCTTTTAATTAATATTGAACTAATATTTAATAAAATTTATTTCTACACTAAGAAAAATGTTTAGTCAGAGCAACCAAAATTTGGTTGGGCCAAGAAAAAAAAATTTTTGTTGGTATTTAAGCAACCAAACTATTTGTTTGAGTCAACCAAAAAAATTTAGTTGAGTGTTTTTTGTTGGTATAACAAAAATGTTTGGTTAGCTCAACCAAATTTTTTTTGTTAGGTTAACAAAAATGTTTGGCTGATCAAACAAACAGTTTTTTTTTGTAAAATTATTTTGTTGTCGTAACCGAATTTTTGTTGGAATTTAAAAATGTTTAACCAAAATATTTTTGTTTGCCTAACCAAATATTTGGTTGAGATAACTCTACGACTTTGTTTCAGCCAACCAAAATTTGGCTACAAGAACCAAAATTGTCTAATCAAACAATTTTGTTGAAAACACTACATTTTTTTTTCTCAGTGTATATAATATTATATTTCTAGGAAAACAAATATTCGCAAATAAAAACCTTAAAAGTTTTGGATTGACATCTGCTCATCTTTGTTTTATATAGCCTCTGGCATATATACATAATTGAATACCAATTGAAAACTTTCGCAAGAGTTTATATAAATATACGATGCATTAATTACAATTATTGATAAATAGTTAAAAATTCCTTTTTTTTGAATTTTCAATTACATTAATTTATTTAATTTTCTTCAGAAATATTTGTCAAATATAGATGTCACAGAAAAGGTTAATTATAACGGATTACATAAAATTATTTTGCAATGAGTCCTGACACGGGGCTAAATTCACAAGATAAAATATTCTCATTTTATAATGTATACTAAAATAAGACTGTTAATTTGATAACTTTAATGAGAACCTAAAAACCCAAATGAAGAAATAAACTAAACTTTTATGAAGCAAAGTGTCATAAACTCGAAATGATAAATCTTATAGCAAAGGTAGTTATTTCTAGAGCCGAGTACAGATAACACTTTAAGAATATTAACAAATCATTGTCAGCATTGAATTGAAAATAATAATTTCAA